CATTTTTGGCTTGTCCCCTGTTCAAGTTCATTGGGTGGTCAAATCCAATGCTCATTTTCAAATAAGATTCTTGTATTGTAATGAAAAACCATTCAACAAATAGCGGTAGACACAAAACAAAAAAGAAAAAAAAGATAACTTTTATTTTTTACATGAAAATGTTAAATCTTCTAGTCATGGATTGGATGAATCCTATCCAAAAACCATTACACGCTTGATTATGTATGAAACTATGCGGTTATACACTAAAAACTATAAAATATCCAAAATTAATGATAAGTAGTATATAATAGATAAATTCTATTATTTACCATTTAAAATAAATAAAAATAAATAAATAAGTTTATATATATATATATATATATATATATATATATATATGTGTGTGTTCAAAATATTTAAATAAAAGATTATTTAATATTAATAAAAGGAGTTTTCTTGATGTCATTTTTGTTTTTGGACTTGTATTATTGGATGAGCGTTAAAAATGATCTAGTATTTAAATATGGGGTTAAGGTGATTATGAATACAAATAATAATTAGACAAAACCCTACTCCCTCATTTCCAAACCAAAACGGTGGTTCCTTTCCTTTCATTAAAGTTTGATGACAAGAACAAAGAAAGAAAAAAGGAGCAATTATTTGATCTGGTTGAAGGTTTAACAATCATTTAGATTCACTTGTATGAACACACCATATACATATATTTTGGTGGTTGTGATCCGCTACGGTTTAAAGGTAAAACTTTCCATGGTTTAGTTATAATTGACAATGTTTTTCTAAATAATTACATCTTTGGGATTAAAAATTTGAAAATTTATTTCCATTGTGATAAGTTGATAAATCAATGAAGTAAGAAAAATCATATTTTACACTTACTTTGTTGACAAATCAAATAAGTAAAATGCTCCGAGAACAAAACATGTACAATTTGGTTGCTGTCGACAAATGTGTGATCGGAAGGGGAAGAGGTTTCTTGCATGTGAGCTGTGATTTTATTAATCCTTTGTGGGTTGCTGTTTTTCATCGCTGTATTAATGGATCTTGTTTTTGGTTTAGGTTATATGTAGTTTACATTTTTCGTGGTTACTGATTTGATGGTTGTGGAAGGGTATTAAGGAACGTGATGATCCATAGGAGCTAAGGTTGTAGAACTCGCTACTCGATATCTGTTCGGACGACCGTCGAGTAGCACATATTCAGGAGTACTCGAGGAGTACTCGGATTCAATAATTCATGTAAAATATTTTTAGGGAAACTATATATGTCAAAATCATAAGTTGATTGAAATATATAATAAAATTAGATACATGTGAATACATAAAAATTGAAAAACACATAATGGTATCACTTTGTGAATAATTATTGAAAATTTAATATATATATATATATATATATATATATATATATATATATATATATATATATATATATATATATATAGTAATCACGTATGTGGGTGTTAAATAATAAATCATTAATTATATTATACATTTTAATCACCAAGTTGGCCAAGTTTTACAACATTGTTCGCTTCAGTAAGGGGTCAATCAGGAAGTACTAGACGAATGCTCACGCGTTGCGCATAAACATCTGTATAGCTGAAATCTTTACAAATATATGTTTTTTTTTTTTTTTTTTTAATATAACAATAATGTTGTTAGATTTGATATAATAATGTGTATACTAAGTTGATATAATATATTGATTATTCTGAATTATATGATAATATATATCTATTAAAACTGTATAATCTCAATATTTCGAATGACCTCTACCCACGGGTTACTCATGAATAAAATTAAATATAATGTACGGTTTAATGTTATTTATAGTTTTTGTTATTGTTAATTAATTTTTTAAAAAAATTTATTTGGTTAACTTTTTAATTTCTATCATTGTAACCTATTAAAACATCAAATATTTTTTTTATTTATTTTAAAGGTAACAATGTAATTATTTATATAGAGTTATTTTATAACTATTGTTATTATAAGATATTTTAAGCTACTTATTTGAAAACTTTTAATGATTATAAAAATAGTTTTAGGAAATATTTTAGTTAAATTGATATTACGATTTAGTTTTTGCATTTAGCACTACAATTTATCACTTTTAACTATTCATAGAATATTCTTTGGGTTTTTTAAGTGGACCTAAAATTTATGTTGAAGTTGACCCTATAATGTTATATTTAAATTAATAATTTAAATATTTTATCCAAACTGTTCAAAACTTGTAGTTTTAAACTGATAATGGTTTACATACAACAACATATTAAATATAATAAATTTAATATAATATGTTAAAAGCTAAAAGCATAACTTTATAAGTATAAGTAACAATATTGTTTTAATATAAAATTTTAGTTTATTTATTATTACACTTTAGGTTTGATACATGTTTAACCTTATTAAGCAACTTATAATCATTATTAGAAAGATACTATAATTTATCACTTCTGACTATTTACAAAATATTGTTTAGGTTGTTTGAGTTGAACAAAATTTATATTTAAGTTGATTCTGTAAGGTTATATTTAAATTAACAATTTAAGTATTTTATACAAATTGTTTAAAAGTTATAGCCTTAAAATGATAATGATTTACATACACTAACATATTAGACCTAATAAATTAAGTATACTATGTTAAAAGTTAAAAACATAACTCTATAAGTAAAAGAAAATATATTATTTTAATATTGAAATTTAGTTTATATATGATTACACTTTAGGTTTTATATTTATATAACATTATTAACAAACTTATAATCATCATTAGAAAGAAATTGAAAACTCATGGGAGTCTCAAATGAATGTGGTGAAAGGAAAAATGAATGGGAGTTTCAAATGAATGTGGTGAAAGGAAAAATGTTTCCTTTATAAGTATACTAGGCGAATGCCCGTACGTTGCGCAGAAACACCTATATAGTTGAAGTCTTTACAAATATATGATTTTTTAAATATAACAATAACGTTGTTGTTAAATTTGATATAATAATTTGTATATACAAAATTGATATAATATATTGATTATTTTGAATTATATTATAATATATACATTTATTATAACTTCATAATCTCAATCATTTGAATGTCTTCTACCCGCGAGTTACACACGAATAAAATTAAATATAATATATGATTTGATGTTATATATAGTTGTTTTTATTCTTAATTAATTTTTTTAAATTTATTTACTTAATGTTTTAATTTCTATCATTATAATTATTTAAAACATCAAGAGTAAATTACACGAATGGTCCCTATGGTTTAGGGTAATTTGCGCATTTGGTCCTTAACTTATTTTTTTAACTCGGAAAGTCCCTACTGTTTGTTTTTGTTATACGCTTGGTCCCTACGGTTTGCTTTTGTTACACGTTTGGTCCCTATATTAGCTAAAAATACTATTATTTAAATAGAGAAAAATGATGGAGTGGGTAAGGTAAAATGAAGGGGATGTGTGTTTATTTAAATAGATTAAAAAATTAAGGGCAAAATAGTTTTTTTTTGACAAAACAGGGACCAAGCACGTAACAAAAACAAACAGTAGGGACCTTCCAAGTTAAAAAAATAAGTTAGGGACCAAACGCGTAAATTACCCTAAACCATAGGGACCATTCGTGTAATTTACTCAAACATCAAACATTGTTTTTTTATTTTAAAGCTAACAATATAATCATTTATATAGAGTTGTTTTTAACTATTGTTATTTTAAGCTACTTATTTTTAACTATTGTTATATAGAGTTGTTTTTAACCATTGTTTTTAACTATTGTTATATATAGTTGTTTTTAACTATTGTTTTTAACTATTGTAAGTTATTTTAAGCTACTTATTTGGAAACTTTTAACGATTACAAAAATATATTTAAAAAATATTTTAGTTAAATTGAAATTACAATTGAGTTTTTGCTTTTATCACTACAATTTATCACTTTTAACGATTTACAAAATATTCTTTAGTTTTTTTAAATGGAACTGAAATTTATATTTTAGTTGATATTGTAATGCACAGAAACACCTATATAGTTGAAGTCTTTACAAATATATATTTTTTAAAATATAACACTAACGTTGTTGTTAAATTTGATATAATAATTCGTATATTAATTTGATATAATATATTGCTTATTTTGAATTTTATGATAATATATAAACATTATAATGTCATAATCTCAATCATTTGAATGACTTCTACTCGCGAGTTACACATCAATAAAATTAAATATTATATATGGTTTAATATTACTTTTAGTTGTTATTTTTAACTATTTTTTTAAATTTTATTTTCTTAATGTTTTAATTTCTATCATTATAATTATTTATAACATCAAACCACTACTAGAAAAACAGCCTTTTACGACGCTCATTGTGCGTCATAAAACGCTCAGACGACGCGCAAATGCGCGTCAAGGAAGGCCCTGTCATAACGAGAGACGACGCGCATTTATGACACGCAATGCGTATGATTAAAGTCACTGTCAAGAAAGGCCATGTCATAAATGAAGATGACACACATTTTTGCGTATCGTAATTTTTATTTTTATTTTAAAAAAATTTATTTATAGATTTACTTATTTATAAATTAAATTTGCATTTCATGTCAAATAATAGAAAAATAAAATACCGTATACAAAAAATACAATCCATTTCACAAAAGTTAATGTCATACAAATAATCATTCCAATACTAGACAAATATAATACATCAAATGTGTTGTTATTTTACACAAACACATACACATAATCTATACAACTATTTTCATATAAGGTAATAATAGACTATAACTATTGAAAATCTATACAACTAGTGTTGTTATTTTACACAAACACAGACACATAACATTAAAAACGTTAGAAAAACAGCAGGAAATAAAGTAAGTTAGAGAGGAAAAATGTTCTTGAGGTATTTCACCAAATCTTGAAAAGACTTGGTTGATAAGGTGATCTTCCTGAAGTTGGATAGCATACCAGAGAAGACATAAATCTGATAGCAAATTAGCACGCACCCATCTTTGTAACAAAGTTAAAGGGAATATAGGTTGCCATTCGGACAACCTGTCATTGTGAATAATAAATAAATAAAATAATTAATAACTTTAAATAGAAAAGATAAAATTTACCTGTCCAATTCCAGTACTTCCATCTTCAAGATACAAAGTTATATTGTACCTAAATTTGAGATTAAAACAAAAAAGATTTCTATTGATTACGATAATCTAAGAAACCAAAGAGGTTATTTTTTTTTACCGAATCATCTTAATGAGCTAAACACTTGATCCAGAAAGCTATATACATGGCTCTTTCTTTTTGACTAAATTTGAAATTAATGACTTACATGGTTAAGCCAAAAAAAATATGGCTTAATGTATTAAGACACTAATCCCTTACCTACTTGTCATTCTTTGTTTTTCCTCCCAACTCATTTCACGTTAAAATTGATGATTTTTGTTAAATAAATGAAAATTGTGGAATTTGTTTTTTGGAATGTAATGGTAAAATGGTAAATGTTTATTCAATGTAGAAAACAAGCAATATTTATGTATACACCATTTTATTCAGGCATACATCATTACTCACTCAGTCACTTTACATACAAGACTTAATGGGGGGAAAAGAAAAAGAAACAACCCTTGTGTAGATAAATACGACATACCTTCTTGCCAACTCTTAGTGTTATCTGATGGAGGCCATAGAATTTGGTGATCAAGGTGTTATCATGCGCATGCACATGTTTGTAATAGCTAGGAAGCATCTTGAGTAAAACCTATAGAAAATCACATTATCATATAAACAATATTTACTTTTTGTTCATAAATAAAATTCTCAATATTAATCAATTACATTTAGCCATATTGAAAGTTGGTAGTTATTTCTTGCATTTAGCCATATTGGAAAAATGAGGATGAGCAATTAAAGGCCTAAGTGAGGTAGCATACCTGGCAAATTTCTATCTGCTTCATCAACTCCTGATTCTTATTCTGAAGATCATCAACCATTGAAGCCTTTCCCAAGGCAACCTGCACAGTTCTCTCAGCGTCAAGTAGAGCAGCCTCTTTTGATTTAGTCAATCGATCTAATGCTTTATTGTCATCTTGCAGCTTAGCAATCTGAAACCCAAAAAAGGGTAACACTATAAATGTTAACATTTTTATGTTGTGCAATGCAATGTAGACTGTACTTGTATTTTTGCTTTAAGGATGCATTCGAACTACTGATGACAAAAGACTAAAGAGAAGAGTCGTGAGCAGCAAACCTGTTGTCGAGCAAGCTTTAGCTCAACTTCTAGTGATTAAATAACAGGTTAATCAATTTAATTAACCGAGTAATTAAGAAATTTTTAAACAATTCCCATCTCAATATTATGATGATTCTATATCAATACATAGTTATATATATGCTGGTTATTTATGAAGTTTATTGAATTCACATGGAAAAGTTTGTAGGTGCATATGTATTGTTATTTAAACACTTAAAGTTTTTATTATGTAGAATATATCATTTTTGAGGTTTAAATTATTTTGATGAGACTTAAGTTCTATAAGTTAGTAATAATTTTTCCTTTTTTCCAACTACCCTCATAAACTGTACCATCGGACCATGTGTATTTACCCTTACCATGAGGAATCATTCCCTTGACATTACCATAGTACATATCTCCTTTTAGAAGGATCTCCAAACTCATGCTGATCTTTTATCAGTTTCTTATGAGCTCCTTGTATTAATAACACTTGTTACAATGAAATTCATGTTTATATGGCATCTTAAATCAAAACAGTTTATCAAACCCAAGTAGGAGTTGTCTTACAATACTGAAAAGAATATTGGAAACAAGCAACCAGAAACCTTAATTGTAAAACCATCCTTGTTTTTTATTCATGTACTTACATATTATACCATCTGTTAATCTTTGACTGTTCATGTTTTGCACATACAATGAAGACAACAGCGGTTGCTAGTAATCCCAGGTCTTTTGGTTTTCTCACTGTCCAGATTACTCTTCAACAACACATATAACAGGGTTTAATTTTGCATTTATGGAAACGGGATGGAAGGGGCACACACAATAAATGATATCTTCAATATCCAGACTTGATTTGTACGGTAAAAAATGTTTTCAAATATGATAAATAGTTAAGAAATAACGTACGTGATAGTGAGCAAACCATCGGGCGGTGGCCGGCGTGGAAGCAGGGAAGTAATGTAGCAGCAGATGAACGGATGGGCAAACGAGCAAAACCGGGGACCGCCGTTTTAGGTTTCGTGGTGTTTATGAACATTCTGAGAATCGATAGTAGTGATTTATCTCCATTCTCCAGCACAACTCACACAAATTGAGAAGGCGTTAGATTTTTACCATTAACGATGAATCGAAGAAGGAGTACCAAAAGTTACATACCACGAATCGAAGAGACCGAAACCAGAGGATGAGGAAGATCCCAACAACCGATTCTGAGATATTCTGAGCCAAAATGAAGATCCAAGAAACTGATTTCTGCTTCGATCAATTAAGAATCAATGAGTACTTCGTCTTCCACTAATAGAGTATTTAAGGGTTTTATGGAGATTCAGTTGAATAGACGGCTGTGAATGTAAAGGAGAAAGAAGTCGGAAGAAAATTAATCTATCGTGGGTTTAGAAACTTAAGTGAGGGTGATGTTGGTTGAGTCACTGATGATGTTTCAGGGAGGCGGCGTAAAGAATCATTCTTAGGGCTTTAAGGGAAAAGAGGGAAACAAAATGGGGGACAAAAAGGAAGGCGGGGAGAAAAAGGAAGGCGGCCATTTCTAATTTTTAGAATTTTCATCTCTCGCTCGTTGCTACTAAAGGAGGCGCGCATTCACCTTAAAAAATTATAAAACGACACGTAATTCTAGGTCACGCGAAAATGCATCACCTAAATCCTTTAAATTTTATTAGAGATGATGTTTTTTCAACGATACCCACTTTTACGTATCTTAAATCAGTGCGTGTCATAAATTGCGTGTCCTTAAAGCCCTGTTTTCTAGTAGTGAACATTATTTTTTTGATTTTAAAGGTAACAATATAATCATTTATATAAAGTTATTTTTTAACTATTGTTATTATAAGTTATTTTAAGCTACTTATTTGAAATTTTTTAACGATTATATAAATATATTTAGGAAATATTTTAGTTAAACTGATATTACAATTTAGTTTTTGCGTTTAACAGTATAATTTATCACTTTTAACTATTTATAAATATTATTTGGTTTTTTTAATGTAGCTGAAATTTATATTTAAGTTGACACTGTAATGTTATATTTAAATTAACAATTTAAGTATTTTGTCAAAACTGTTCCAAAATTGTAGATTTAAACCGATAATGATTTACATGCAACAACATTTTAAATCTAATAAATTAAGCATAATATGTTAAAATTTAAAGACATAACTTTATAAATAGAAGTAAATATATTATTTTAAAATTGAAATTTAGTCTATTTATGATTACACTTTAGGTTTGATATTTATTTAACCTTATTAACCAACTTACAATCATTATTAGAAATACACTACAATTTATCACTTTTAACTATCATCATACATACTTATAAAGCTAGCATTTTTTTCTTGAATCTCATGCATTTGAAACCCCCATTCTTTTTTCCTTTCACCACATTCATTTGAAACTCCCATGATTTTTCAATTTCCTTATAATAATAATTATAATTTGATAATTAGGTTAAATAAATATCAAATCTAAAGTGTATTCATATATAAACTAAATTTCAATATTAAAATAATATCTTTAATTTTACTTATAAAATTATGTTTTTTAACTTTTAACATATTATACTTAATTTATTAGTTTTAATATATGGTTGGATGTAAACCATTATCATTTTAAAGATATAACTTTTGAATAATTTGTATAAAATAGTTAAATTATTAATTAAAATATAACATTATAGACTCAACTTAAATATAAATTTTATTTAACTTAAACAACTCAAAGATTGTTTTATAAATAGTTAAAAGGTAACAATATAATCATTTATATAGAGTTATTTTAACTATTGTTATTATAAGTTATTTTAAGCTACTTATTTGAAATTTTTTAACGATTATATAAATATATTTAGGAAATATTTTAGTTAAACTGATATTACAATTTAGTTTTTGCATTTATCACTTTTAACTATTTACAAAATATTATTTGGTTTTTTTAGTGGAACTGAAATTTATATTTAAGTTGACACTGTAATGTTATATTTAAATTAACAATTTAAGTATTTTGTCAAAATTGTTCAAAAATTGTAGCTTTAAACTGATAATAGTTTACATGCAACAACATTTTAAATCTAATAAATTAAGTATAATATGTTAAAATTTAAAGACATAACTTTATAAATAGAAGTAAAGATATTATTTTTATATTGAAATTTAGTCTATTTATGATTACACTTTAGGTTTGATATTTATTTAACCTTATTAACCAACTTACAATCATTATTATAAAGACACTACAATTTATCACTTTTAACTATTTATAAAATAATTTTTGGGTTGTTTAAGTTAAATAAAATTTATATTTAAGTTGAGCCTATAATGTTATATTTTAATTAATAATTTAAGTATTTTATACAAATTATTCAAAAATTATACCTTTAAAATGATAATGGTTTACATCCAACAATATATTAAAACTAATAAATTAAGTATAATATGTTAAAATTTAAAAACATAATTTTATAAGTAGAATTAAAGATATTATTTTAATCTTGAAATTTAGTTTATATATGAATACACTTTAGATTTGATATTTATTTAACATAATTACCAAATTATAATTATTATTATAAGGAAATTGAAAAGTCATGGGAGTTTCAAATGAATGTGGTGAAAGGAAAAAAGAATGAGGGTTTCAAATGCATGATATTCAAGAAAAAATGCTAGCTTTATAAGTATGTATGACAATGATGTGCAAAGCAATATTGATTGTCTTCATCTCCTATGGGATGTCTAAAAGCTGCAAGACTTTTGGATTTGATAGAATTCTTATAGGTAGATGAGACAAATAACATTACTTATAGATTGTGTTCACTATGTGTATGTAATTATGGCATTATGTCTTGATATATGTAAACAATGTTATAAATAAGGTCGTTATACCATATGTAATGTGAGACTTGATGAAGAATACATATAGTCAAGAAGATATTTGTTCATCTACTTCTTTAAAGTATCACATAAGTCGCATCCTTATTGAATTGAATATTTTTGAATGTGTATCGTACTTAAATGATATGTTCATTATGGTTAATTAAGTATGATGATCTTACTTAATTCCATAAATCAAGAAACATATATATTAAACTTATATAAGAATGGTTTTAATCATGACTCATGTTTAATGATATCATAAAAAAAGAGGTTACGTTGACAAGTCATTTATTTGTGGAGAAAAGCATTCATGTGTGGCCATGGGAAATGACATGTTGCTAAATGTTTGACATTATTTGTATATTTGGTTTTTTGTCACTTTCACAAGTGGGAGTCTCTAAGATCTAGTGTGCATGTAACGTCCCAAATTTCAAACCAAAATTTTCATTCATTTTTTTAAACTAGGAACCATATAAATCTCATTCTGAAAGAGTAGCATCAAATTGTTTCAATAACATAAAATCGGATTCATAGTCATAATAAAATCGAGAGTGCAGAAACCTCTACAACATAAAAGCAAATGTAATGCAATCACGTTGCACCCCTGCCTTTGCAACTAGAAGCACCCGAGACATTTAAACTAAAATTGTAAGCATAAAGCTTAACGAGTTCCCCAAGATACCACTTATAATATAAATAATGAGCCTATCCCAGCAAGTTAGTTTCAATCATCTGAACCCATCCCAACAAGAATGTAAGCATACATTGACACTTACTGTCCTACATACTATAGTAAGAATACTCACCTAAAGTAACAATTATAATCTTAGTATTCCAGAAGTCTAACCAGCTACCACAAACCACCTATAAATCATATAGTGGTTCTAACTCATCTTAGAGCTTAATTCCAACAAATTTGACCAAAAGTCAAACTTGGTCAAAAGTCAAACTTGGTCAAAAGTCAAAACCAACGATCTAGGTCAAACTTCCTACGCGTGGTGTAATGCTATGTGTGGTGTAGCACAAATCTACATGTGGTGTAGTTTTACGTGTGATGTAGGTTTGTCCTACATGCGACGTAGAGGTTTCCAGGTTGCGATTCCCACTTGATACACGTGGCGTAGAATAATCATATGTTTGATGTAGCACTGTTGACATCACACTTTCCATTAAGTGCTTAATACCTTAAGTCCAACGTTCTAAACTTCCAAATACCATTAAAATAACATTTTAATGAATCGGGTTTGTAACTTTACTCATTTGCATGACTCTAAACACAAGATCTCAAAGCTACATCAAGAGTGGTAAAAAATACAACCAAAACCATGTATGGCTCTAAATGAAATATGAAGTTTAGCTCTGTGTACAATAACGGGTCTAGAAGATCCAAAGATCCAACCTCTAATCTTGTAGCTGTCATAATCCAACTGAAATCGATAAAAGGGACCAAAACATGCATAAATCCAAGATCTACAAAACTAAGAGCACCAAGTAACAATCTTGAAGACTTAAAAAGATCCAAAATGGGTCAAGAAGGTTGATGAAGCTTGGATTCGAGCTAAGAACACCAAAACTCTTAGATATTCACACCAAATGCTTTCCAAGACATCAAAACCAACAAAGAAGGTAGGAGGAGGGGATGAGAGGTTAGGGTTTCGTTTTCAGATAAGGAGGATAAAAGGATATCAAACCTATAGGGTTAGTTCATTTATATAGGGACCAAAGCCTAAGATATAGGGTTTATGCCAGTTGCGGCTACACACGATGTAACACATACCTACGTGCAACGTAGAGATATGTATGTCGTAATTTTATCCTATGCATGATGTAGAGCAAAAACCCTAAAACCCATTTTTATTTAGTTAAAAAAATTAACGAAGAAACATACCCGAACCAAGGTGTTACAATTATCCCCCACTTGTGTCACACCCCCAAACCAAGACGGCGGAAACGTTTGGGGGGGGGGGGGGGGGGAGGACGTCATGTAGAGTATCACAACAATTGTATAATAGTAATCTAAGCAAACACAACCATTACATTGATAAAGTATAGTATTTACATCTGTTCAATACATAGTTTGTATGACATCAAAAGTGTATGACAAAAGTATAAAAGACGTGACTCTACAAAGCTCCATCTTCTCCAAACCTGT